TGTTTGCTATTTGTGAACTTGACATCAGTCTGTCCTTTTCATTCCTTTCAAAGCATGATAAAGACAAGCAGTTGTCATGTTTACAAATAGCAAACAAGAAAAGCTAGTGCCAACATAATATCACTGAATTTGACGAAGTATAAGTATTTTGGACGTTATTTAGATATTAAAGTTTTCAGTCTGATTTTTTACTTTATGCACAACTTTATATTTAAAAAAAATACGGGTCAAGTGCGTGTCGTGCCAAAGAGAGCGCTACACTGCGCGGTTCCGTAGTTACCACAATTAATTTGAGCAGGAGTCTTTATTTTCTACATCGGAAATTAGAAAAACCATTTTATATAATTATATGGGGTATAGGGGTGTAAGGGGTTCTATATACACCTGCAAGAACCCAAGCCAACCTCAGCTTCACGTGGTGCACCCTTTTCACCAACAGACGAGGTTCTGGCAAACCGTCCGGTGAGAGCCCCTCTCTTCGGACTTAACCCTAAAATGTGGCCACCATAATCCTCTAATTGGGCCACCTAATGTGCTTCCGCAAGGGAGACCAACAGTCCCAAGGTGGCGTTGGGTTTTTGGTAAATAAATCCCTTACCAATAATTTTGTAGAAATGTCCAGCGTGTCGAACTTTTTTTAAAGCTCAAGATGACATACGGAGCCGAAACGTGGACACTGACGATACGGCTGGTCCACAAATTCATAATCGCTCAGCGCGCTATGAAAAGGGTTATGCTCGGCCTTTCTCTGAAAGATCGCATCAGAAATGAGGTGATCCAACAGAGAAACACAGTTATCGACATAGCCCACCTGATTAGCAAGCCGAAACGGCAGTGGGCTGGCCATATTTGCCGCAGGGCCGATAACCGTTGAGGTAGACGAGTTCTGCAGTGGAGACCACGTCTAGGTTAACGTAGAGTAGGACGTCCTCAGGCACGGTGGAGTGACGATTTGCGCAAGTTGGCTAGCAGGAGCTGGATGCGAGTAGCCCAAGATCTCAGTGCCGTACAATTGGAGAGGCCTATGTCCAGCAGTGGACTAAGACAGGCTGTTGATGGTTGATGATCAATCTATGTGGACGGCCTAACTCGAACTAAAATCAGTACTTTAAAGTTCAATATTTCGCAAACGAATACCCTAATCTAAAAATAGTCTTACGAACACCTAAGTCATTTTAAAGGACCAGAAAAGTAGATGATGAAAAAAAAAGTCATCCCCAGGTTATATGTAGGGGAGCTACCCTAAACACACACAACTCTGTAGTGTTAAAAGTCTCTAAACAAAACCGGGACCGTCTGTCCGGACATGACGAAATTATAAGGATTCCTTGGCAGGACTACGGAGCCCTAAAAACACGGAACATAATAAATTTCTTTATTTTTATTTTTTTTTATGCAAACTCGTATTGTGTTTGCTGTTTTTCCAACCATTCAAATTGTGTATTCCCTTAATTCTTAAATTTATACTTCTAAAATTTGAACGATTTTGCTAGATGAACAACTTTTTTACGAGTAGGTGGAGATTAAATGTCGTGTGAAACCAGTCTCGAGTGGCATCTGCTCCCAGCAGTGACGCATAAGCTAGCTAGCAAGCCGTAGTCTTAAAAACATCCCAATAGGACCTGTTTTCAGCCGTGGAATCTTCGATTTTATATACTTTCATTCTGCTAATAGGATAAATGATATTATACTTTACGTACCTACCTCATTAAGGAAAGAGTCTTCAGTCTTGGTTACAAGGATGCTTAATGCGAAATCTTACAAAATTGTTTCATATCTATAGGAGTTTTAGTGTTTATCTCCGAAAGAACTTATGAGATCTTTACCAAATTTTCATCAAGAAAACTCATTCATATTAAAATAGAATCACCAAAATTAATCAATTGTTAAAATGCTGGCACTGTAGGTCGTCTCTATATTCACTGTAACCACAGAACAATTACATTAAAGTGTATGACTGCTTGTTGCCACAAATAAAGAGAAAAAATATCAGTCCACTGTTTTGCTTAACATTTTTTTAGACACTATACTATTTTTTTGACGTAGATTTATTTTAGAACTATATAAAAAAAGATGTAAACTACTAAATAAAAATATAAAAAAATATGCATAATTCTTATTATACAATATTATTTTGCAGACGGCATTTTGTCAAAATATTTATTCGTTATAAAAAAAACTATGGTTAAAATTCATCCGCAAATGGCCGCAATAAGCATTAAATGAATAAATGCTAAATTTTAATAATATCTAATAATAGTTGGTGGTACCGTATGATGCCTACCTCTATAACCAAGCCGGTTCGAACAATTTAATGCTGCTTGAATGTGTACATACCCCATAAACCGAGAGCTTTACCTATTTTCTGTCCTTGTTAAAATTAACAACTCGACTCTGCGTTTTAAAGCTCAAGACTGTGGTACTTTTTAATGTGTAAATATTGGCTCGTAACATGTTGATGTCCACATGGTATATACATATTGATACAATTTACTTGTGAATAGTCGAAATAAGCTCTCATGCTAGACAAGGAGCGATAAAAATGAATTAGTAAAGTCCTAAAAACCTGGTCATTTTTATTTCCATTTCCATTCCATTAAAGCATAGTTAAAGTCAAAAATTTTAACATTTTGTATTTCATAAGCAAATCTAGGAGACCTCTCTGGGAGAGATTTTACTTGTTTTATAATGATCAATTGCATTAAAAACTCTCTTAACAGAACAATTTAAATGCTCAGCTATTCTTCTGTACGCCCACTTATGATCTATATGTACTCGTAAATTAACAATTATTTGCCTAGTTGACACGTCACAACTTTTATTTTTGCCCATTTTGAAGAAAATAAAATTCAGATTAAATTTTGAATTGCCACCAAAATAATAGAAAAATCCAAGCAATAAATGTCTTTCTCCAATTTTAAAAAAAGAACGAGCTATTGATGCCTTTTTAAAATATTTCTAATTAGGCGTCCAAGCGGCCAGTAAAAGAAAAGAAACTCCTCCATGTGTAAGACTCATTTTGTAATTAAAAGTAAGATATGTTTTATATTTTATGCATTTAATGAGTTTTTTTTATTTGAGTTGCTATATTATTGTGTAAACTCTATATAGAGTATAAACTCTATATATACATATTTATAATTAATGAAATTATCTGCTTCTATTAGTTGTGTTTGTCACTTAATAATGTCATACTGTTTAACCTGGTATGATAATAGACATAATTTTTAATCAAATATGATAATAATCAGAATAATTACATTTTTGTATTTTACTAAATGATCTAAATTAAAGATCGCTACAGATTTTTGTAGAATTTTCAAAGTATTGAGTAAAAACTGAGTAGTCTAGAGCTTGTTATAACACGCTATATTAATAAATACCATTGATTGAAACCCCACTGCTATGGCAGTTGGTCATATGACGTGCCCGTAATGTGATGTATGGGCATATTGGTGTCGATTCTGGCATGATTCTCTAAACTTAAAATTAAATTTGACAACCTTCTCATTCTCTAAACAGAATGAAAATGAGGGACTGATGTTAAATTTAGTTTTAAGTTTAGAGAATCATACCAGAATCGACATCATATCCTGTCTAAAGTTATAATTGTTTCTCGCACGTGGTCTAATCTCGTAAATCCCTAGTTATTTTTAACCCGTTTACACCTAAATATATGAGTATCGCATACTTATTTACATTCATTTAAACGTAACCATTTTTACTGTTACAAACATAGCCTGCTAGTTTTAATGATTTCGTTTTTCTGTGTTACTAATTTTTATTGTTACTGTATATAAATACAACACACAGTATTGGATTATTTTTAGTAAATATCATTATCATAGTTATATTTTGGACAGATTTCTGGTTTATAAAAACTCACATTACTAAAGGACCCCGCAGAATCCTTATGGAAGTTGGCTCTCTGCCAATTTTTCTGTAACTGTGGAAGATGATAGCTCATGACACGTGGAATAAAAGACCCCATGGGCCCAATGGCCAAAAGTTCATTGATGAGGAGCTACAGCGTGTCAAAGTCAAAAATGTATATATGTATGCATGTAAGCTGGGAGGCCGAACTTACATGGAAAAGCTTATTCCATTCAAGGATGTCTCTGGATTTTCTTTTCTTTTATTCCAGGTATCATGAGCTATCATCTCCCAAAGTTACAGAAAAAAATACCGAGAGCCAGCTTCCATAAGAATTCCGCGGGGTCATTTTCTATACCCGGGGTTCACTCAACCCCATTCACTTAGTGTTTAGTTCTGAGTCTTACTTCTCTCCTATACTTGCGCGACGAAGCTTCGAGGAAAGTACTTAATGCGCTAAAATTAGCGTTCGAAATTTGAATTAGTTTTATCGTAATGTAATTAGCGGGCTGCGTGTCTATAGACGCTAGACGATAGGCTTTTAAATGCAGTGGAACTTTAACGATAGCTTAACTGGCGATAATTTGACACGCTAAAAGTGAATATGGAAAACGAAAAATTTGTATGTGTGTGCAGCTGAAGGAGCGCAAAGTTTGAACACTAATTTAAGCGCATTATAGTACAAAACCACCAGAAGCTTCGTCACGCAGATGTGTGATAAGCATTAGTCTTTGTTGATGCAAAGAAATAGGTCTTTCAGCCACTTTTTCCACTGGCGCCAACCCATCTATCTTCGCGTCTGAACTCTTCCATCAGTTAACATCAGGTGGGGTGAAGTCATTTGCTCCTAAATATCTGAAAAAGGTTCTCCACCTCCTCTTCTCAAAGCAGTCTAATCCGAACAACGAATGCACTGTGCCTGACTTCACTTAAATTTTTAGAAAGTATTTTTACAACGGATTTGAAGGTGCTGCCATCTCAGAGGTCTCGGTCATCATTTAGGTATGTATTTCTATCCTTTATCCCAAAATACCATAACACAAGTCTATTTTGGAGCTAGGCTAATTGGTGTGTGTGTTAGAAATATTTAATATTAATTTATTCACTTCTTTTGTTGTTTGTTTTAGGCCGTATCGTTGTGAAATCTGCGGCGCTGCATTCCGGCGGCCCTACGCCCGCACCGTGCATACACTCATACACACGGGAGAAAAGCCGCACGAATGCGATATATGTGGCACCGCCTTTAGGTGAGAGATATTCAAATTGTTTAGGTTAACTTTCGATGTTTCATGATGTTCGTCCACCTTATTCTAACTTCTGTCTGTCTCTGTTAGAGAAGGTTCGTGACCTTCACAATCATCATCATTACCAGCCTATTAAATTCTCCACTGTTGGGGCACAGGCCATCCCTATGGATAGAATTGGGAGATAAGGCCGTGACCTCACACGCGGAACCAGTGCGGATTGGTGTGTGCTAATGACTATAGATGCTGCCGGGACCAAAGGCATATAAATTTTTGATAACCCACTCAATAACCGACCACTGCAAAAGTTTCTTAACTTCCATGACCGCAGGCCGAACGCGCTAACCACCTGCGCACTCGAGCTCTTCGACAATTTGCATAAAATTTTTATCCTACAAAACTTCGCCTCAAAATTGCGAACAGCAAAATAAATATGGAAGACGTTTTCGAGCACTGGAGCTTCGGAAACTGCTGAACTATAGGCTTCCAAAGCGGATACGTGGTTAGTAGTAATAGATCCCCACGACTGGACCCACACTTTTGGCACTCATTTCAAAGACCTCGATTCTTGAATTGCCTGTCGGGTATGAGATGCAGGGATGTTTTCTGTTTTTAGTAGGTATTTTGTCGTGCCATTGTTAGGACATCGCTAGTTTTGTCAATTAACAGAGCTGGAAATAATCAGCATGTCCATTTTAGCACAAACCAATATCGAATTCGAGAAGTTGAATCCCATCTTGATATGCGATGAATTTTTGTATGGAAGATTTTTAATTCTCGTCATGTCAGTTGTGGCGCTGTTCAAATTGCCATACAAAACTTTTCGACATTTGACGCGTATCGAGATCGAATTCAACTATTTGAATTCGTTAATGGTTTGTGCTAAGGGTACAGGAAGGATTCTCATATTCTTCCGTCTTGCTACTCCTGATGGGTGGTGTAGGCCTCACGGGGTGGGCCTTTCTCAGACACAAGAAAAAAGGTTGTATGGACATAGTGCCACTAGTAAAAGAAATTAGACTGGTAGAACTGGCATTATGCAATTGTTAACGGTTGACTATGGAATCGAGTGTAAGGTATTCCAGACCACACTACTAACTGCCTTGAATACCTCTAGAACCGTTCCAAGCACAGTTTCTTCTATAATTATCATCATCATCATTAGCCTATTAATCTCCCCACTGCTGGGGCACAGGCCTTCCCTATGGATGGAATAGGAATTCTACTGTAGTGCGTTATTTATTTTGTACTAGCTGTGCCACGCGGTGTTACCCGCGGTTTATTATGGATATGTTCCCGCAGTAAAACATAGCCTATTTGTTAATCCAGGGTGCCAGCTAACTCCATACCAAATTTTATTAAAATCGTTCCAGCCGTTTAGACGTGAAGAAGTAACAAACATACACACTCACAAACTTTCGCCTTTATAATATTAGTGTGATTAGTGTGATTTCAAGATTTCCACGCAGGGTGCCAATGTCTCTTCTTTCTTCAAGTGGCTTGGGCTAATCACAATAAAACTATTATTGTTATAATTTTTATTATTTTTAAAGCATGTAACTGCTTGATGTTTAAATCTAAAGAAAATATAACTAGAAAAAATTCCACGCGGACCAGGCAGCAGACGGGACTCGAACCCGCACCCTTCGCAATCCGGGCGAATGCACTGACCAATTATGCTACCGCAGCCCTCACGGACCGCGTCGAAATTCTTCTAGCCATTCTTAATCTGCAAGGCAGCGCCATCTCTTCGCATTATAGGTAACCCACAATGTCAAATGAATACTTTTACAAGTATTAAACATTTGAAAGAAGAAATAGCAATTATAGTTATAATTTTTATTATTTTTAAAGCATGTAACTGCTTGATGTTTAAATCTAAAGAAAATATAACTAGAAAAAATTCCACGCGGACCAGGCAGCAGACGGGACTCGAACCCGCACCCTTCGCAATCCGGGCGAATGCACTGACCAATTATGCTACCGCAGCCCTCACGGACCGCGTCGAAATTCTTCTAGCCATTCTTAATCTGCAAGGCAGCGCCATCTCTTCGCATTATAGGTAACCCACAATGTCAAATGAATACTTTTACAAGTATTAAACATTTGAAAGAAGAAATAGCAATTATAGTTATAATTTTTATTATTTTTAAAGCATGTAACTGCTTGATGTTTAAATCTAAAGAAAATATAACTAGAAAAAATTCCACGCGGACCAGGCAGCAGACGGGACTCGAACCCGCACCCTTCGCAATCCGGGCGAATGCACTGACCAATTATGCTACCGCAGCCCTCACGGACCGCGTCGAAATTCTTCTAGCCATTCTTAATCTGCAAGGCAGCGCCATCTCTTCGCATTATAAGGGTGCGGGTTCGAGTCCCGTCTGCTGCCTGGTCCGCGTGGAATTTTTTCTAGTTATATTTTCTTTAGAATTAAAACTATTATTATTAAATAATTTTCATAATAACAATTTTTCATATCGGCTAGGCCAAGTGAACTGTTTTTAACAGTGGCGCACTTTGCTGTTCTGTCGACCTCATATAAGGCATATTATATTATAGCTTAAAAACTGCTATGTATTTGTTAAGCACAATATATATAAACCTTCGTCGAAGCGACACAGAGAGATTTTTCCTCCTCGGTCTCGTTATTTATTCACGGATTTCATAATGGGGTTCCATGCGACTCGAACTGTGAATAGTGACGTTCGTTACACCCAGTCAATAACCCACAAGGTTGTACAAGTGAATATCAGTATCAACCAAGTATAAACAACATTATAAAAAAAACTGGTTACATGTCCTTTCAAAAGATCTGACTACTTAGATTTTGCTCTTCATTCTTCCTTTTGAGACGACCTCCGTGGTCGAGTGGTTCGTACGCCGGGTTTCATGGTGTCGCCGACTCGAGAGGTCCCGGACTCCAATCCCGGTGGGGGCAGATGTTTGTGTGATGAATACGAGCATTTGTACTCCAGTCATGGATGTTAAATATGTATTTCTATATAAATATACTATATATGTACAGTACAGTGCTTACTTTGGGTTACGTATTTTTTTATTTATTTACTTTAAGATTTCACTAGTAGTGACTAGTGTACAGAGTAGTGAAAAAGTGGTGAATCACTACTTTGTCAACGATATCCTCTTCTCATTGCAGAATCTTGTGTACAACTCCCGTTTTAAAGAAAAAGAAAAAGTATAACTATATAGTAATAATTATAATAAATAAAAAACAAATTGAATAACATCTCAAGATTTAAAAAAAACAATAGATCAACTCAATTAAAAAAGTATAAATTAAAAATTCAATCAATTAAAACAAAATAAATTTAAATACAATTAAAGTTGTAAATTAAACAACAATTCTAAAATGTCAATAAGTAAAATGTCAATATTTAAAATATTATAATTAAAAATAAAATGTCAGAATTTAAAATCAAATTATAATAATTTAGTACATTATAGTCAATGGAAATTAATGTTTATAATATATACAATACATGTAAGAAAATTTATGAATCCTTTAAAAGAAAATAAATGTCTATATGAATGTATGATTTTATGCAGAACATTTATGACTTCATATAGTGACAGTCAAATCTACTCGAAAAGAGTTTCAGGATTGTGTTAGGGCTGCTCCGTACCCTGCTGACGAGAGAAGTGCATCCCTTATGCATGATTGAAGCGCTGCAGAATCGAGGCAGCCCCAACAGTACCCTCAGAGCATTATTATATTGAACCCGCAAGGCACCGTACTGTTTCTTTATGTAGTTAATTCACAGGCTGCACGTGTAAAAGGACGTACAAAAAGCTCTAAATAGAGTAATTTTAATATCACCTGAATAACGTGTGCAATTAGTTTGCCCTAAAAGACAGCGCTCTGCGCTCCCTTTATATATCTTCATCGTCCTTCAGGTCGGCTATGTAAAAGGATATTACTCACTGACAATAAAATTCTCTGGATGTAAAATGTAATCTTTAGTGCTTTCGCATCTATTTGCTACCAGTTTAACAAGGGGACTAATAAGCTTGCTTCTTTTATAATTCTTAGGAAGGTAAATAGACACACGGCCACCGCCACCCCACTACAACGGCTAATTAGCGGACAGTGAGGGCTGTCCGACACCCCCTAATTAGAGCTGTGGTCGGAGTCTCAGAAACGCCTTCCAGTTGAGCCCTCAGGTTCGAGTGGTGTAGAGGTTTCAAGCGGAAAAGAACCCCCCGAGGGGAGATGCCAACTGCCTTGAATACCTCTAGAGGCACTTGTCAATTCAGGACTTATGGTCCCTTTAGGATCTTACCCCGTCCCCTAACCCGGTGACGCTATAAAGGTCATCTACAACCAACAGCATACATACTACGGTCACCGTGACCTATTGACTCCTGTGGCATCAAGAGTTACCACACGCGTGTTACTGATCCTAATTGAATCCAAATAATGGAAACTCAGAACAACATCACTCGTGCACTTATGGTTATTAGTGCTAATTTAAGAAATAGACATCAAAGTGTAGCAAATCCTAAGTCCTTGTATCAAAGGCTCTACATACTAGATCGTGTCCGAGTTTCGACTTGAAATTTCGTGTAACCTGAACTCTACTCATGGTAGAAATATCCTAATGAAATTGTATTTTTTTTTTATTTATTTCTTATGTTTCACGCACTCTAATCATAGAAAATAACTAAATTCATTTTTAACGAGTAAAACAGTTGTGTAAGCGAAAATTTTGCAATTTCATAAAAAAATTACGTAACTGAAAGGTAAAAAACAAGTTCAAAAAAGTTATTGCGGGACCGTTTTTAATTGAAAAGGTCTCCCGACTTCAATAATTTTAACACTTCTTTTAGGAAGTTGTGTGAAAAATAGTTTATTTTAGAATAATTTCCATTAAAAGATCCAATTTTTTTTTATTATAGACGTTCTGGAGATATGTGGAAGCACAAGAGAACTCTACACGGGGTTCAAGCAAACGCTACCGATGGTGACTGAAAAATAACCGAGCAAAATAACCGATTTGAAAATATCGGAAAAGTGTTCTTACTTTATTAAACATAATTATTAAAAAAATAAAAATAGTGGTGTCTAAACCACTGCTTTTTCCCAGTACTTTTTTTAATTTTGTTTTAATACTTCTTTATGAAGATTCAGGTAAGTTTTATTTATATAAGTATTTTGCAAAACAATTTTGCTTGTTAAATAATAATTTATCTGTGATACTTAGACCATAGCATTACCTAGATAAAATTGTCACTGTTAAAAGTAATGTATTTCATTCTTGTAAGTAATGGTGGTTCGATTGCGGATTGTTTTGTATTTATACTGTGCTGATCTCAATTAAATATAGCTTATAACATTGGATAGCAATGTAGTTTTAATTAAAGCACTGCGCTTTAAAAAAATACCCTAATATTTACCAACATTACCTTTTATAGTTATGATATGAAGCAAGAGCAGATTTATTTACCTAAGGAAGTTATATACCTTCCTTGGATTTGCCACTCGAATTAGAGAGCTTGACCCTCCTTTTGGAAGTAAACCTTGGTGTTGTAATTCTGTTGGTGGCTAAGATTCTAGGGCTCTGGTCTGAGCCGACAAGGTGCAAATGTCTGGAATGGCACACTACTCTGCCGGATTTATTCGCAAATGGACTTCACTTAGCTACACTTAATGTCTATCTATCTCTAAAAAATGCATTGTATGCAATGCATTTGGTGCTTTCTGTACACAGGATGAATGTTCATTACTTTTGCTACAATATGGACAGAAGTTTCCTAAAATATTCATTCACCGGAGTTAGCAGCAGTTTGTGACAGTCTCAAAACCTTGTGTTTTGTTTTATTCACCTAAAATTTTATCCAATCCTTAAGTAGACAAGACCAAATAAGCGTTTATACAAAATCACTGTCCTACTAATATTATAAATGTGATAGTTTGTATGTTTCAATCAGGCAAAAACTACTGAACTAATTTGCATGAAATTTGGTGCACATATAGTTTATGACTTGAATTGATACATAGGATACTTTTTATCCCGGAAAAGTTTCAGGCTCCTGAGGTATTTTCAAAAAAACTAAAGTTAGCGCGGACGAAGTTGCGGGTGGCCGCTAGCAGAAATCATAAAAACTACTGTACATTACTGTCTCAAAAACATCTCTGAATGTTGTTAGCATTTGTTTCCGAATGTTTGGATTTTAATGATCTTCACATACAGCCACTAACTTCAGTGCGATAGTGCCATAACATAACATAATATTCGGCAATTCAATTTTTAAATGATTTTGAAACTACATTATGTCATCGATTCAGTAAGTTTTACTGTGACCGTATCAAATTTCAAGGTAAGTTAGTATTTACTGTTACCAACATTAATTATAATTTTCGTAAAAGGTGAGTATCTGAAATCGTTCGTCTGTTTGTCTAAAGCCTTGCGAAGCTAGGTAGGTTATACTTACACCAGTTTACTTTATGGACAAATTAAAGCATCTTCTCCTTTTTCCTGATTATGTTCAGAAACACTAATTTCACTCGTACTATGCTATCACAGCTGCATATGTGTTACTTTGAACGCCCTAGCCAGCGGCAAAGATTGCAAGTTTTGAGGTATGGTAATGCCTCTAACATTATCAGGACGAAAAAACTTGCAAAATGTTGCAGAACATCAAAATTATCAGTTTATACTAGAAACAAACTGACGCCAGTTTATGTACTTACAACCAGCTGAAATATTCCGGTGGCTGTGTCCGCGACTCAAATACCCGCAGGGAATGCCGATGGAATAGTGTGTGTGTTATTTATAATTGCAATTTCATCATTTTTTAAAACAACTATTGAAAAGTGTTTCATGTCATAATAAGCATTCATGTTGATGATTCTGAGCAGCTTCCAAAGATACGATCTCCTTTGTCTGATAGGGATTTACTATTTGCACATGATAGGTACCCAGTACTTACACGTAGTTGATATATTTTATGTTTATTTCTTTCGCTCCCGAGTATTGGAGGTAGTTCCTATCTACAGTATGGGAAAAGTGAATGTCTGATGTGTGTTGAATCATGTGACACATAGCTGATATTCTTACAGTTCAACCCAGGACTACTACTGCACTGCATCTTATAATAGCCGAGTTGATTGTTGCAGCTGCCAGGAACCAAATTTTGACAGATCTTAGTTGTTACATCTCGTGACATCACTTATATCTATCAAGAAGTACAGAGTTGACAGCTAAGTATGGGCCCTTGGTGTGTGCACATGGCTTGTGCCCGGGTTTTTTTAATGAATTCTCTTCTATCTTAGAAATATTATATGACTAGTGGCCCGCCCTCGCTTCGCTTCGGTTTAGAGCTTTAGTGTAGACTACAGTTTTTCTCAGGCTTGTATTATACACAATGACATTCTTCTAATACCTAATTACAATAAGCACGCGCCGTCAGCCCCCCCCCGCCCGGTAGCGTCGGAACCGCTATGTCCCTGCATTTTAAATCTGTAATATCTTTAAAAATAATCGTTTAAATTACATGCTTTAAAGGGCCAACTTGATCTTTATTAAATGCACAATAAATTTAAGTAATCCAATTTAGTAAATTGGATAAGGATGAATGTTATATTGCTGAAAACCGCTTCCGAAATAAGCTATTATTTCTCGTAAAAAGTATAGGAATAAAAATGATAATTGTGGGTTATCTCTAAGAGATAGACATATACCATCGCGGACTTTTTTGTTGACCTTTTTAAGGTGTACAATACTGTAGTACATTATTTTGATCTATCTCGTTGGGTTCTGCCAGCGTTTACAATGTAAGGTCAAACCGTGTGTTTATTTACGACCTTACATTGAAAATCTCTAAAATTATCAGTGTTACTCAACTATATTATGCATGTATTATACATATAAACCTTCCTCTTGAACCACTCTATCTATTAAAAAAAACCGCATCAAAATCCGCTGCGTAGTTTAAAAGATCTAAGCATACATAGGGACATAGGGACAGACAGCGGGACTTTGCTTTATACTATGTAGTGATTATACTAAAATCATTTTTCTTACCTTTGCATTTTCAAAGCAACAGGTGTGTGTAGTTGGAAAAGTATTCCTACCAGTAGCGATAAATGGGAAAAATTCAACTATAGTTACCTGTGGGAATTTATCAGTTTGGAATTATAGGGGGCTATGGGTTATTCCTATTTTTGCTTGTGATAGTTTAAATTTTATAAATTATAGTCGATTTTTAAAAATCCATTAATGTATTTAGTGGGAAGACAGCAAGATCAGTTCTTTGTGAGAATTATTTGTAATCAGTTCAACAATTATATCTAAACTCGTATACTTATTCTTAAATATTAAAACAACAAAATTAAAATATTTGACTTTTACAGCTATTGTATGCAGATACTTGGCAGAAACCACTATTTTCTTGCTTTTGCTTTCAAGCATTTTTCATATATTTAGGTACTTTAGGTACCCACCTAAATAGACGTATTTTTCAAAATCGTATCTAGACACGTATACTTGCTTGCTCGAAAGGGAAGTTCAATAAATATCCTCCATTAAATATTTGTTAATGCAAAAGAAAGTTATCTTTCTGTTTGGTAGATTATAGGATAGTGCTTATGATACATTATTTTGATACCTCTTTTCTCGCTGTAAGTTAGGAATACGTCTGCACTACGAGATATCAATAATTTATAAAAGTTATATTTAGTAACTTAACATTTTCTTGCCTATAAAATATCTTTTTGACTACGATTATATTTGATTGATGTCTCTTAGTGCAGCCGTTAGTATGAAAATCAAAGTCAAGTTTCTTCAACAGTAAATATTTATTATAAAAATTGCTCTTATAGCCACATTTCTGTTTCTATAATATATATAATATTTATGTTCATCTTTGTGCCATTGTTTCACAAAATTATTCCTGTTCTTGTTATTTTCGACACAACAGCTTAAACAATAATATATTACAATTATATATCTTACATTAGACAATTAGAGAAACTATTTTGAATAACTTCAACATGAGGAACGTATTAACAATTCGATGTGCAATATTGGTTGTTGATTCAAAATTAGTTTCACTACTTCCTAATGAAAGTATTTAAAATATATTCACAATTGTTTTAATAAAAAATCCTGTCATTTTTGGTAACCAATGTCAATGAAAAAACGCTAAGAAATTACACTTATAATAATGTAATTTTAAAGTTACGTATGAAGTGGTCGTGTTCCCTTCTTGGAAGAGACCACGACCCAAAGACGGATATGACAACAAGAGAGTCATAATTATTGCTGTTATCACATCTGAGCCGCGAGAGCCGCTCGCCCAACTACTATGGCAACTAGCAATCACGTCACAAACGATATCATACCTCAGGGAAACCGTAAATTTAAAGTAGTGCCTCCACTTTTATAGTCTATACAAAAAATTTACACCGAAACGAATTGTAATAAAACATTCGTGTTGAGCATTTCAAATACAATTTTATACAAATGTGAAAATGACAGGATGAGGGGGGAGCTGATCGAAAATAGTTTGTACATAATTTGCAAGCAGTCGGGGTGTCTCCTGACCGCACAGACGTGTATCCATCAAAATACAGTAAGAAAATATATTTGGCTGTGTAAAAAAAGATAGCTTAACTAAGTATTTATATATTAAGTACCTCCAAATTAAATAGAACCGCAGTTAGATAAACGTCTGTCCGGCAGAAGCCAGACGGAAAACGACTCAAAATCGTTAGTACAAATATGTAGGTATTAAATATGTATGTAGGTAGACACGTCAAACAGAGCAGTTTGCCGAAGAGTCGCTAACTTACTTAAGTAAACCATCACAACCAACCATACGGACATGTTCAACAAAAATATCTACGCAAAAATAAACCATAAAATAAAATAGATTGAGCTGAATTCAGTTACCGAGTGCGCGAGTTCAAAACTCAATTATGACTAAAGTTGTTCGTGTATCTTAATAATCTGTACTGGCAATAGATTTTGTGACATCTTACATTAAAATGCATTAATATGTAACTTGTTAAATTTGTTATGTACTCGAATTTATGGACAGAATAGAGGTTGTATGATACAACATGGTGTGTGTAGCGGAGCCGTGAGCTGCTACCGACATTCGACACAGATATCAATAAAATTATTAATTTACAATAATGTATTTACAACGGTCGCGGGTGATCGCGCCATAATGCCCATCTCCGTATATCATATATACACTATATTTAAGAACATAGAGTTTTCTCTCATTAGCTACCGAATCACAATTCAAATATTTGAGTAATTGACAACAGTGGACAAACATGCGCCGGAGCACTGATGCATCTTACTTTATTGAAATTTGTACTTTGCTCTATTAAAAGTCATGCTACTATGTTTGGTCCGTGTATATCCAATTCCGTGGTAATAGCGCGTTGTCTTATGGCATCAATGGGAGAGTGGTCAGTTGTATTTGCAGTAATGAAGTCAATTTGATGAGCGTTAAATTGTATCGCAGATGAGATTAAAAATGTACTTGTCACAGAGCGCCGACCACAAATCCCAATGACGCCAAATTCATTTGCATTTCCATTTCACGCGCGTTGCGCACAACCCGACGTTACTAATGAGAGAACATTATCATCGCCTGTTTTCATGAGGTCGGAGAAGAACCTCCAAGATCAGTCGCAAGTTTTGACTAGGTCTCTCGTATTAGAAACGATGGGTTATACTATGGTTACAATTTAGGATTAATTCGATGACCCAAATTTTCAATGGGTATTTTTTTTACAATTATATTATAACTTGATCAAGTTACGACACATGGGGGGTCGGACGCCTTCCAACAAAGTTATCAGTACAAAACTATAATCAATGCAACAAATAAATTACCGTTTTTCACTAATAGTTTAATTGCATATTAGGAACTGTGATTCACGGTTAGTTAGGAAATAAATTATTCGATGAGAGTTTACGGTAAGCCTAGAACGACACTTTCTTATTACCTACATAAGTAAAACACATTTTGTTAGAAGGCGTTCGAGTGTATAATGTAGCTATTTAGTTATGCAATTCCAAAGTGAGGAGGGCAGTTTGAATACGGCCTCGGGCCGGTCAGGCGGCTGTTGCAAATTCCAATGATTCAAATGCATTATCCCGCTGCTAACATGACACTTTCATAGTCAGACGGTAAGGCTACCTAATTGACATCCAGTTTACAATGCTGCCAGTGGTCGTGGTGGATGCAACACTAATGAAAGTTCATCCATTATTAAGTACTAGTCGTTGACGTCATTTGTTCGTCATTGTTCCGATGAACTAACATCGAGTCTGCCCCCGCGGACGGCCACAGCAGTCGATACGTCATCTAGCGAATCACTGTCGTGCGGCAATAGCGGCACATGTCCACACTATTCGTCTAGCGAACTTACTGAGCGAAATCTGATTCGTGAGAGGTGTGCTCTTTGATGCTTCATCACTTCAATAAATCGATAACGGAAGTAACATTAGTGACTTAAACAGAAGAGGTACCTAGTTCATTAAATCTATATTTATTAACTTGTAAAAGATCACACTTCTACGAAATGGGATTTCTGTTAGTAAAACATAACCCAATCATAGTCATCTCGTTGTTCAGATTACATACATTAATTACATTGAAAATATCAAGACAGAAATAATTTCAAACTATCACGTTTCTTCCAACGAAATAATAAATATAGTATTTCACCTAATTAATTACTCAATAATTTCAACAAAAATTTCAAACACCCGAGTTTTTCTTTAATTTAAACGATAAAACGTCATTTAGCTAAGTCACTTCAGTTTCGGTTTGGAATTCACTTAAAGAAAATAAAACTATCAAAAATAACTTGGCTCGCGTCAAAGTCCTGCGTCACGTCCGAAGCTAGCACCTTCCCTTTAGCAATTATATAATACTAACTACTGACTGCGTGCAGCGTGGCGCCGCGTGCGCGCGCGGTGGGCGCGGTGGCGATGGCGCCGCGTCCGGGACCGACTAGATGCCGCGCGGCAGCGGCCGCCCGCCTCACCGCGGCGTATCACAGGCGCTCAGGGCGGCGGCGCGGGCGACTCCGGCCCGCGCGGCGAGCACTAACTCGTCGGCACCAACAGCCGCACGAAGCTGTCCTCGCTCCAGCCCCAGTCATCGGGCCACGCGTCCTCGGGAGGGTCTAGCGCCGATCGTGACGACAGGCTCAGCACCGAGCCCCAGTCGATGGTACGCTGTTCTTCGTCGCCGTAGCCGGAGTCGCGGTCCGGCGGGGGCGGCGTGGGGAAGGGGGTGGCGCGGCCCGCAGCCGGGTCCCTCGCGCCGAGGAGTTCGCACCGCGCCGTGCCGTTCGCCACACAAGCGGGTTCGAAGGGCGCTTCTTCGGCGCTCTCCCTTTCCATCTCGCGCTCGATGCCTCGCAGCGTGTTGCACACGAGCACGGATCGCCTCAAGGAGGGGTCGGCGGTTTGCCGAAACCGAGCCAGCTTGAGAGCGCAGAGGTTCATCATTTTATGGCGTCGCTCGCGGTAGCAGCGGCGCGAGGCGCAGCGGCCCGCGGCGCGGCCATCGCAGCAGGAGCGCGCCGCGGCGGCGCCCAGCTCGAGGTAGGACTTGCCGTTCTCGGCACGGATAGTTTCGTGCGCGCCGCACCAGCCACCGCACCAGCGCCGGCGGCAAGCGCGCCTCTCTTCGTCTTCTCGCCAGCAGTCTCCGCCGCCGGCGCCGGCGGCTACGGCCTCGAGCCTCGCTATCGAATCCTCCCAGCGCGCGACTTTCCCGCCGCCCTCGCACGGGGAGACGGCGCGCCGCTTGGCGCCGCACCCGCCGCCCGAGCCCTGCAATACCAAACAGAAACACACATTAATGTACAAAATTTGGTCACCACACATTTTGCAGGACATAACAAAAACGGGACACAAGACAAAATATTAGACATCGCTAGAAACATTCCATTCATTTACAATGCACGTTATACAAATAATATTATTACCAACGAAAACATCACCGATTCAATTGACATTGACAGCGCGCAATTGAATGCAATATTCATTTATCGTCTCATGTCAAAGGTGTTTTCTAAAATAGTCTATGTTTTTAGCTACGATAAAAGAACCTAGAATTTCTGAATTTAGTCACTACAAGTCATCGCCTAGATGCCATCGGTCTAGTCTTTCCGGGTATATAAATTACTGATACCTAAAATCTCTCCCAAAATGAATGATAGAAAGACGTCATAGAACAATGGTGTGTGGGCTGGCACCGAAATATTCGGGTAAGGTTGGTTGGTACGAGGCGAGCCGCGTCGAAAGTACCGTTGGTGGCACGGCGCGCCGAGCGCCGCGCTCATTGGAAAATGTGAGAAAATTGGGACAAGCAAAAGCAGCTTATAAAATTTTATGTATAGGTATGTATAAATCCTATAAAAACATGGGGATATTTTGTATAAATTAACCTAACGGTAACTAGACGCATGTCGCAAGTATTTACCTGTCAGAAGTTTCTACCTATTTACCAAAATTTGACCTTTTTAGTTCTTCTATCAAAAAATAATCAGTTTTAATAAACGGTACTAAGTTTAATTTTTATTTTGTTAATTCAATGCATTTTTGATTCATTATTATGGTAAGATATTTTTTTGCTCTCCTTTTGGTTGACAAACTTTGATGTTACAACTAAGGAATAATTTTGCACTCCTTCGTATGCCAAATTTACTTAAAAAAGAGATTTTAAAGTCTTTACACTATAATTATAATATTCTCAATAAGCATTAAATCGATCCGTTTAAAAAACGCTCTAATACAATTAATTATAAAAACTTCAAAAAAGCACACAACAAATATCTAGGCTGTAGAAACCAAACACTTCAATTCGTATAAAATCAATAATAAACTACCTCAAAAGTCTCTATTATCAGTTCCCTGTCTATAAATGCATAGAGTATTAATAATGAATCTATGAGAAAATCTTCACCGCCACCCAAAGAACAACGATCGTTCTATTCCCGTTTTGCCTGCACGCCATAAAGAATGTATCCGTTCGGCTCATAGAGTGACAGCAGTGCGTCATACGGCTGCATGGGGTACCTGGGAAGGGTCCCTATTGTGCCGAACCCTACTCAGTTTTTTTGGGACAGCACTGGGGTGCACCCCTGCACCGCTCGAACCCAGGTAAAAGACCGTGCCCTGCCATATTCCGATGGGATTTAAAGCCCCGACTTTACATTCTACTGAGCTTTGTTATCTTTAACGTTTTCGAGTCTTCTTCTCTTAATAATAGACTTTAAAGATGTTGGTTAACAGCTTGCAGTAATTGAAATTTCTACTTATATTTTTAAAACTGAATTAGATTTTAACAAATTTGAATTATATTTAAAGAATTGCAGTAGGTACCTAGTATTAAAAATATATTCTCAACTAGGAATTCAAGTTGAAAAACAAGCTATCATTTTAATAGCAGCTGCCGACACTCTACCACGTAATGATTGGTGGCAAACGACGAGTCCAGCCTGCCACACTAAAAGTGAATTTTATTAGCATTCGACCGCATACATTGCCAGTTCGCTTGACGACCGGCTGGGTTTCGCAATTGTGGGCGAGCGAGCGACGCATGTTTCAGCGCAGCCGTCGGAAAATGAATAAAATAGCTACATGCGATGTCCAGCAGGCGCAGATGCCTCTGCACCTGCCCCTACAATTAGGTGGCACACGCGTCTTCGCCGACCTATCCAGATACTATTAAATGACCTAGCCCATAATATTGCATACGACGACCGTTATTACATTTTAATTCATAATTGTAAGCAACTAACTACCTACGTGTTTACGTAATAGAGATTTTGAATTACCTACTTACATCTTTCACAACAAGAAGTGTTATAAGTTTTAAGAATAATGATAATGAATAATTGGAACAGAATCGCTGTTACAAAGGTAGACTCAGTATGGTAGGTATTGAAATCAGGAACGCGGACAAAGTGAAGTCGCTGGGGCGCAGCGCTGGCATGGTTGCAAAGCGCGGTTGACTCAGCGCCGAGTCATCGCAACGCTGCAAATAATCATTTTGCGTCACCCCTTTATCGCTGCTCGGAAAACATGCCGTTCCATTGTGCAGCGGCGCGACGGTCGTGCAGCAATGGTCAACGTTTATAATATTTTCGCGACGAATACTAACATGCAGAAACAGATAATTTCACTGGGTTTCGTCGATATCACGGGGCGCCCGTGCGCCGGGCGTGAAGCAGAGTCGTCGCCAGCGCTGGCGCTCATGAAAATAAATTTAGTAAATGACGTTGCCACACGGCGTTGCCGCTCTGCGCCACTGGAACGCGGCTGCGCGGCGTTGCCGCTCCGCTCGCTCTTTCTAATCTTGTCGTAAAGTTCTTTTTCTGATGCGCGGCGCGTCGCTCGCTCGTTCTCTCCGCTCGAAACTTGGAAAACGTCCGACGTTTATTTTATCGCTAGTCTTGAATATGCGCCGTTTTATAACCGGGCCGCTCGCAGTAGAGTCGACCGTCGGAGTTACTGCTTATTCAAAATTATAACCATAAAGAAAGGCCAGCATGCGAGCCGAAGTTGTATTCGGAATAGCGGCGCAATAATGATTCTTCTCGGTGGAAACAAGAAGGTAGGAAAAGTTCGGTCGGCGAGGCGAGTCGAACGAACTTTCTATGGCATTGTAGACGGAATAGATGGCGGCACGGCATTGCCTCACAGCACAGCGCGCTAAGCCATGTCGAGTCGAGCAGCCGGGCGCGGCGGGGGCGGCGGGCGAGGCGGGCGGGGCGGTGACCGCAAGCCTGTGTGCGTGCCGTGCACGTGCACGCGCACACTCACGCGCGCATAATAACATCGAGTAGCAGCCGTCCCGACTCTAACTAGCGCTACAGCTACCTACGCTCCACCAAACTCCACTTGTATTATACAGAAAACATTCTGGCATTTATACAGGGGTTTTGTATACAATCAAAATATTAATTTGATGTAAATGAAGCGTTGCATTTTGTTTAGATAAAATAATGTAGGATTTTCCACATAATGTGAAAGAAATTTACTTGATAACTCGCAAAAAGCGAAATAGAATAATCAATATTAATTCGTACATATGACATTTTTCAGTGAAAAATTGTTGTTTACTATCTGCTATTTAACAGATGGGTTTTCACGGCAGTGCCGCTCTAGATAATATTCGGAACCCACGCGATGTATCATGTATGTAAATATTATATACGTTCCTTCATCCGATTGTTTACGACCTTTACGACTGCAGAGCATTTGTAGTAGCACTTTTTGTTGATTTTTTTTTCGTGTTCCATTCATAAAATTTCATAGTCGTGAAGATGTAGCGCTATTTACGTCGAAATCGCGGGGCGATCGAACGGCCGATTAATCATTAGGCTCGTTTCGTTTCAGTACAATAGAGCACGTGACCGAGTCTCGGTAATTTCATTCATTGCGAAGGGCTGCTTTGTTGTGTTGTGGACCTGTTACGGTCCTTACGACTCTACTATTGCGTTCAGTCTAGGGTTGCCATCCTTCCATGTTTCCTAGGATTTGTCCTAGTTTTAAAGGCGTCCAGGGAGTGTTCAGGAGGGGTTTCATTTGCAGCCCGGGTTTAAATATTAAATACATGTCTTCTGACATTGAACCTATAAATACTGGCGTCCCACAAGGATCAATTCTATCACCCAGTCTTTTATTTGATTTTTGAGGACTTCGCCACACATTTAAAATAGGCGTGAAGAAGCATTTGTGCAGGCCGGCAAGATGAGGATGGTTAGCGTGGCAGTTCTGCGGCACCAGCTATCTTCGCGTCTGAACTTTACCATCACTTAACATCACGTGAGGTAAAGTCATTTGCCCACTATAAAAATACATAGTGGGGTCTTCAAAAGGCAGGTAAACCTTTCCTGCACAGCCGGCAACGCATGAGTTGAGCTTGGTACTACAAGTGTCCATGGGTGGCAGTGAACACTTACTATCAGGTGGACTGCTAGCTCATTTGCTGGCATCAACATAAATAAGTTGGTGTATGACAGTTTGGACTGTTTTTATCATACTCAGTAAAGACCAGTTGTTATTGATCGGTCCGGGTTTTGGGCTCCACAATCCGGGGTTTTCACAAGACTAGACGGTTACCAAATTTTAGAGGCAACCCTAGTTCAGTCCAATTCTCACGTTTCACCTGTGTTTGTTTATCGGGTAATTTGTGCTGGGCTAATAACTTCAATGTAGTTAGTTTTCGGAATATTTCTCGAACGTAAAGACGACTACATTGATTTCATACCTTACCTTGTCTATGTTGTTTCAGAAACTACCATCATCTACTTTCTCTCTTTCTGTTTCTCCCAATCAGAAGCCACATTTTACCGTACTTTCTATAAAAATACTGTTTTGTTAAGACATGTACCTACCATATCCAAATGCAGAGCAACGCTTCGTCCATATTATTTTCATGAATACTGCTCACCATTTTTTCGGTATAGATCAATTATAGGACATAATCTATCAATATTTTTTCCCAAATAATTTTGGAAAGTACAACTAAAACAACTCTATAATTTATAAGTAAAAAATTCGATCTATGACTCTAGGTACAGTAGCGCATAGTGCCGCAAGAACGCAAGTAAACGTGAAACAAAAATTCCTCTGGCGGCAAAGAGAACAGAAATGCTAACTAAGCCGTAGGTACTCAACTCAACTGTACGGTTTAGTAGGCGATAGAAGCGAGTGCGAGGCGAGCCTTCGGCAGCACGTTTCCGTGAGCGGCGAGGCCGCGCGGCGTTGTGTGCGCCGTGCGCCCGTGTGTATACGACTTAATGCGCACCCGTGTGCGCCAC